ATAGAGCTTTCTGGTTGATAAAGTGCCGGATAACACAGCTTTTACTGTATTTGCAATTTTTATCCCAAGCAAGGGGAAAAAACTTGTAGGGAAAGACTCCAGACCCAATTGGATGAATAACCATCTGTAGAGGAGCGGACTCACCCCTGTGGCGCCTCCTGCTGGTGACTTCCAGTAATTAGCTTGTTCCAGCTCTGAAGTGCCCTCTGCAGGCCGGGGATCCGCCTGTCCTCTGGCCCCCGTGTCCCTCCCTGGACCCCGGTGCCCTGGTACCTGGGATGCTGCCCCCTACCAGTAACCCTTCAGTCTTAGGGTCTCCCCTCCCTGGGGAACCCCCACCCACTATTCCCACCTCGCCTCAGTATAAGGCTACTGCCAGTCATCATCTAGCCCCACGCCCTGGGGCAGACTGCAGTATCAGCCACTCATCACTGGCAAGGTTGGGTTTGGACCTGCTGCCTTGGCCTACCTCTGGGCTGCCCTCTGCAACCCCCAGTACCTTTTAGCCCAATGCTAGGCAGCAGCCTGGGGCTTTCCAGGCTGGAGCTCCCCAGCTCCTCTGCCTTTCCCCAGCCCTGCTCCACTCAGGTATCCTGTCTCTAGCTTCCTGCAGCCAGGCCCTTCTCTCTCTGAATGCAGAGAGAGACTTCCTCTGGGCCGCTGGCTCACAGCCTTTTATAGGGACCAGCTGGGCCTGATTGGGGCATAGCCCAGCTGTGGCTACTTCCCCAATCAGCCTAGCTTTTCCCTGCCACAGCCCTCTCCCTGGCTGTTTTAAGCCCTTCAGGGCAGGAGCGGGGTAACCACCCCACTACACCACCTCAGAAAGGTTATTAAGTGTAAGCAGAGAGCCTATAGGGAATGGTAAAAAGGATTGATCAGCAAAGAAATCTACATCCTAGAAGTTAGAAAATGTAGGAGTAAAATAAGAATTGCTAAAAGCCAAGCTGAATTAGCACTTACCAAGGAAATTATATAAAACTAAAAACCTCTTATTTATTATATATAAAGAGAATAAGGAAGGATGAGGTTGGGCCACTATACAGTGTGGATGCGGAGGAGACTAATCTAGGTATGGCCAAAAAACTAAATGAATACTTTGCCTTGGTTTTCAGTAAGGATGATAAGATGGAATATGGGCATGAAGGACAGTGTGCCTGATGGAAATCAGTTTACAGAAATGGAAATTACCACTTCTGAGTGGAAGAAAAACTTAATGTACTCAAAATGGGGGGACCGGATAATATCTGTTCTAGAATACTGTAAGAACTGACACATAAAATTGCTAGTCTGGTAGCAACGATTTTTAAAATTTCAGTCTTTTGGGGGTAGTACCTTCTGACTGAAGAATAGCTAACATCATGCCTATATTTTTTTTAAAGGGGGGGGGGGTAAGGGATCTGTGTTATAACAGACCTGTTAGTCTGACCTCAGCCGTAGTCAAGGCTTTAGAACAAATTGTGAAGGAAAAAATAATTAAATTCATGGAGGCAAATGGAAAATGGAGTGCAATGCACCTTTGGTAAACCCATGTTGCCACACTAACATAATTTCCTTCTTTGAGAAAAAAAACTGATTTTTTTATATAAGGGAAATATAGTAAATCTAATATACAGACTTCAGTAAAGCATTTAACATGGTACCACATGGGAAATTAATAGTTAGAGAAGATGGGCATTAGTACAAGAATTATAAGGTGGGTAAGGAACTAGCTAAAGGGGAGAAGGCAGTGTTTTGTTCTGAAAGGTGAACAGTCAGTTTGGAGGGAGATTGCTAGTGGAGTTCCTCAAGGAACTTGGGACTGATTTTATTTAGTGTTTTTATTAATGACCATGGCACAAAAAGTTTGCTGATGATACAAAGTTGGGAGGCATCATTAATACACAGGAGGACTGGAATATTATGCAGGAAGAATTGGAATACCTTGAGAATTGGAGAGATAGAAATAATGTGAAATAGTACAAAATGCAAGGTGAAACACTCATGGGGTCCCAGAGCCTGGGCTCCAGCCCAAGCACAGATGTTTATACTACAATTTTGTAGCACTGCAGCCTGAGCCCTGCGAGTCCGAATCAGCTGACTTGGGCCAGCCATGGATGTTGTAAACATATCCTGAGAGACTAATAACAAGAATTTCTGCTGTATGTTGGGGGTGCCTCTGTCAGATATGGCAAAGGAGGAGAAAGATCTTGGTGTATTAGTCAATATCAGGATGAATGCAAGTCAGCAACATGATGGAAAAGGGCAAGTATATCAGGCGAGGTGTTTGCCGTAGAGATAGGGCAAGACCCCATTTGGAATACTGCGTGTAATTCTGGTCACCCATGTTTGAGAATGAGGAATTCAGATTGAAGCAGGTACAAAGAAGGGCTACTAGGGTGATGACGGGAATGAAGAGCTTATTTTAGAAGAGAAGACTAAAATTGCTTGGATGGTTTAGCCTAGCAAAATGAAGACTGAGGGGGATTATGATTGCTTTCTATATAAATGCATAAGGAGAATAGACACCAGGGAGGGAGAAAAACTATTTAAGCTAAAGGACAAATGGGTATAAACTATCTCTGAACAAATTCAGGCTGGAAATTAGAAGGTTTCTAGCCATCAGATGAGTGAGATTCTGGAACAGCCTCCCCAATAGGAGTTGTGGGAGCAAACAACTTACTTAGTTTTAAGAGAGAGCTGGATAAATATATGAGTCAGATTGTGTGTTGAGATTGCTTGTGATTGTAGGATCTGGGCTTGGCATCCTTGGGGGCTACCTTCTGGTTTTTCTTATATTCCTAAAATCTCATGCTTCAGGGCTTCTGCCAGTCTTCTGCAGGGATCAGAAAGGGATCTCCCCCAATATAATTTTTTTGCTTGTTTCCTCTGAAGCATCAAGATGGCCACAGCTGGAGATGAGAGAGTGGATGGGGTAGTGCTTTGATTTGGCACTCGGCATTTTCTCTCTCAGGTGCTTAGCTTACTGGTTCTTGCTCACATGCTCAGGATCTAACTTATTGCCATATGTGGTGTTGGGAAGGAATTTTTTCCCAGGTCAAATTGGCAGTGGCCTAGTGGTTTTTTCACCATGCTCTGCAGTCTGAGGTGAGAGTCACTTGCTGGGTATATCACACTTAATCATTTCCCTACCATTGCAGGGGCCTTAGGAATTGGTGCACCTCAGTCCCTGCTATTCTCTGCCTGTGTCACATAATAGTTTAGTCTCCTAGGCTGTAATACTTTGGTCTACTTTTGGGTGTTGTGTTTGGTGTGTTGGTGGCCTGTGATATACAGATGTCAGACAAGATGATCTTGTGGTCCCTTCTGGCCTTAAACTCTACATCATTTTTCAATCCCACTATGTATCACATCCCTCAAATATATGCTGAAAATTGTAACTAACTGTATAAATCTCAGAGAGACGGGGTGGATGGTAATATCTTTTATTGGCCCAAAGAAAGCTTGTCGATTTCACCAACAGAAGTTGGCCCAATAAAAGACATTACCTCACCTACCTTGTCTCTCCAATATCCTGCGACTAACACCGGTACAACAACACTTTATAAATCTCAAAATATAATGATTTGCCTTTTGTTTGTTTGGCTTCCATTATGCTTCTGGTTAATCTGAAACGAGGTTCATGCTCTGATCCTCTGAGTGGACTGTGCAGACTTCTGCACCCATGTAGACCCAGTTGCATGACTGAGCACTTTATTAGGAAGAAATGGCACCAGATCTAAAAGTAGCAAGCTCTTTTGTTTTTGTACAATGTTCCCAGACAGGATCTTTAGTTTGGTTACCTTATCATGTGTATCTCTCCAAGTGGATTGCCTTCAATAAATAATATAAATTCTACACTTTTTTTGTTTACTCTACTGCAGTTAGACTACAGTAAAATCTGTTCTCACTTAATAATTAACAAGAAAAATTAAATTTTCATAATCCAAAATCTGCAATTTATTTTAATATAGTAATTAACTAGATTACCAGGAGTAGAGATAAGTAAATAATTTTTAGAAAACCATTTGACAAATTGTAGCACTTTCTGTTTGTGCATTGTCCCGGAACAAATCATGATTTTAATAGATTTATTTATCTGAAATTATTTCTGCAAATAATTATTGTTCTGTAGATTATTTACCAGAAGCTTGTAGTGATGATTTGAAAATCAAAATGTTATGGATATGAAGGTTCCATAATATGTTTCTTCTCCCTGACTGGATGTGTAAAACTCATGTGACCCATTCCTGCAAGGTGTGGGAATGCCTCTTGAGAGTACTGAGCATTCTCAACTCCTGTGAAACTCAGCAGAAGTTGAGGGTGCTCAGCTGACAAAATTCTGCTCTTATTGATACTGGTGTTAAATTGTTGTATGTCTATTGACTTTATTGGAATTATCGCAGTTTGATTTGCACTTTTCATTGGTGTAATTGAGAGCAGAATCTATCCTGGTATCCCTGCAAGGTGCTGAATGACTTGTAAGCCTGAAGAAGCCCATTATCAGCTTTCTAGTATGAAATTTGTTTTGGTGTAAGTGAAGTTAGACATAAAAGCAATGCATCCAAATTTGGGGCCTGAACCAAAGCCCATTGAAGTCAGTGGAGTCTTTCCATTGACTTCAATGGCTATGGATCAGTCCCCCAATAAAAATACGTTAGTAAATGAGTTGTAGCAACAAATTGAAAAGTTCAGTCATGCATAAGGTGTACTGAGTTACATATAAGACCCCAGTCCTACAAACTGTGAACTATGAATACAGATTTGCTCATGAGCCTGGTATCAGGACTACTCACATGAGCTAACCTTACACTGTGTTTAAGTGTTTGCTGGATCAGGGCCCATGTGCTTTTCTAAGCTAAAATTTTTCCACTTACAACTGCCATACACTGGGAATTAAGTTAAATAGGAAGTTTGTGTAAAATTACTTGTCTCTGGTCTTGGTTTCTTAGATTTCACTATTTAATCTGATAACGACTTTACCAACTACTTTGTGTTTTTTAATTTTTTTTTTCTTTCAGGAATTGAATCAGATACTTATAGAGACACCACCAGTTTGGAAAGGATCATCAAAACTTTTCCGTAATCTTAGAGAGAAAGGTGAGGAAGATTTATTTTACTGAATGACTTTACTACATCTATTTTAGATTCTGTATAGTAGAAATATTGTTGCTAAAATATGCACTTTTAAGCTGAACCCTTAATTTTTTTTTCCAAAAAGAGGGAAACAGTTGTCTTTTACATTTTAGAGACTAGCAAAGTTTCCTTCAACATCTGCATTGTTTGATCATGATTGCAGCTGCCGTAGGATCGTTATATATAGTACTATCTGAATCTGGAACAGTTTTTTGAAGTGTGTTGTATTGGTATTTAAATGTTTCAAGTTTAATTTTGTCCTTCTAATGAAAATTACCTACAAAAGAGACAGAGATAAAATACTTTAAATTAAAGGATACAGAATGACTTTCAGTTTTGGTAGATGCAAAGATAGTAATGTATATTGATTTCCTTGAAAAACTTCACAGTTATTCATGTTCACCACAACACTAATTGGTAACTTCTAAAATCCCATATATTACATCAACTCTTTAATCAAGAAAATCAGATTTATGCATTAGCAATTTCTAAAATTCTGCAGATCAAGGTTTTGACTTGAAAATTTTCATAGCTTCTGACCATCAAACTTCACATTAATTATTGGGAAAAGATCAGGGCTGGCTCCAGGGTTTTTGCCGCCTCAAGAGGCATCCAAAAAAAAAAAAAAAAAAAAGCAGCGATCGCGATCTGCGGCGGCAATTCGGCGGGAGGTCCTTCCTCCGAGCGGAAGTGAGGGACCGTCTGCTGAATTGCTGCTGAATAGCTGGACGTGCTGCCCCTCTCCGGAGTGGCCGCCCCAAGCACCTGCTTGGCAAGCTGGTGCCTGGAGCCGGCCCTGGAAAAGATATAATCTGACATATTTTTAAAAAAATACATATTCTCTAAAAACCTGCTGGTTTCTGTACTATGGAAACTTGTAAAAGCCATCCAAATTAATCTATTTAGTCTTGCATTTATTTCCACAGTAGCCGAAGACTCATGGATTTTTTTAATTAAATCTGGCCTTAAATTAGTTAAGTCAGACAACTATTACAAGATGGTACAAACAAAAATATTATCTATTACAGCAGGTTGAATAAAGTGATCTTGAAATACTAGTCCGCCTGAGCTGGTGATTCTTGTTAGAATGAGACCGTGGAAGAGTTAAGTCCTTTCTGAGTATTGGGGCTGGAGGTATTTTTCTGTGCTGTTGCCAGATACCAATATTGGGATGACTGCTGTTCAGTTTTTGTTAGGTTTCAAACTGAACTAAACATTTACAATAAAGCTATAAAGAAACCCCCAAAATTAAGCTCATCTTTGGAACGATACTAAAAATGTTGCAGTATGCCTCAACTTCATGGTCATGAAAACCATTTGCTGTTCACTATTGTTTCTTTTTCTTTTTTTAAAGCTTCAGGATTTATTATAAAAATGAGTTTTAGATCATCTAAATGAAACACAAAAATTTCATTTTTAGAATGTTTATAAACATTGGTTCAGTTATGTGCTTAGAACAATGTGCTAGGACTCAGGAGATCTGGGTTCTATTTCCAGTTGAGACATTGGGCAAAGTAACTGTGCTTCAGTTTTTCCATCTGTAAAACATCCAATCTTGGAAAATGCTTTGAGCTCTACTGATGAAAAGCACTGCATGAGGTATAACTATTATTTATTACATATACCTTATTCCATTGAAAAATATTCATACATAAGAAAAGATTCTGTAAGAACTAGTATTAAAATTAGGGCTCAAATTTTAAATATTTAACAATAGGAATTGCCTTTCTCACCCTTCACATAACATTTGTTAAAACCATATATTTATTTATATATTTTAACTGTGTTACTCCTCAGTCCTTAAGTATATCTCCTTCATGCAAGGCTGTTACAGAATTCCAGCAACACTTTTTTATTTTTGTTTTTGGTGACCTATCCTTTATTAAAAGATACCTTACTATGCAACTACTTTGTTAGGCTGAGAAGTTCCTGTGCATGAAAGCAATATTAAATTATTTGCATGTTCCTCATATATGATACAAGGTGAAAAACTGGGTAGCTACATCAAATGTACCTTTGATTTAGAAAAGGAGTGAAGTAAAATATAAAGGAATTATTTAATTAAAAGTTTGACTAAATTGCATGCTAAATGACACTTTAATTAATAATGGGGGGGGAAACACATACAGGCTCCCCTGCCTAATTCCCCTGCTGCAGGAGAGGGCATGAGCCACATGCCACTCTTACTGCATGTCTGATAAGAAAAGGGCAAGGATATTGAAAACCTGAGGGGAAGCTAAACCCATCCTTGGGTGAGGAACTGGACTGAAAGGCTTTCCTGCTGAGAGGCGATACTGAGTGTGCTATCCAGTAGACCACCTGACCCTCCAAGGGCTCTATTGCATTTGGCATGATAGGCAGTGGTCTCAGCACACTAGTGGCCGAGGCATTGTCAATTTTTGGGGGGCATCACAGCAAAGGAGATTTTAAAGAAGAGATTTGAAGGAGTATAGTGAAGTAGCTTTGTGGATACTTACAGGCAGATCCTCCCAAGCATGAGGCAACATGGGAGAAAGCACAAGGTGCTTGTTTCTTATCAGTATTTGATAATAAAATAATCTTCATATCAACTGAGAATTACATTATATGTTCTATTAATAGTTGTTGATGTGACTCTACTTTTAAAAGATCCAGATATGATCTGAATAATGTAAACATTGCCATATAATAGGCAATCACATATGCAATATAAATAACTCTTCTAAGAAAGTTTCTGTAACTTTTTTTTCTGTTTGCAACCCACAATGGTATTTCTTGGAGCAATTGATTCAACTCCAAATTCCACACAGACAAAACAACTATGTCTCTCCTTTATTTGAATTCTTTATTGAACTATTTTAGAACCTAGAACCTATTATATCAATATTCTCCATTAAAAAGCGTATCCAATAATAAGTTTTGTGAATTGTGTAATACAAATGTCTCTAAAATTTCTGCATCTGATTCACCAATATTTTACTCCAGTTTTCTGTCAGTGAGAGTCAATTGAAATTAATAAAATTATGGTGTAAAATTGGAGCAAAGTGGTAGACTAATAATAGTGCTTTTAATTAGTAGGTTCAAAGTACTTTACAAAAGAGGTATCATTGTTTCCATTTTATAGATGAGGAATCTGAGAGGCGGAGAGATGACATGCCAAAGGCAGAGATAGGAATAGAATCGAGATCTCCAGAGTCCCAATCCAGTCTTAATCCCCTAGTTCACACTGTCTCTCCATTAGGTTTTATTGCTACAATATATGCGTTTTGATATCAAGTATGTAGATGGACAGGTCCTCAGCTGGTGTATTTTGGCAGAGCTTCATTGAAGTCAATTTAGCTACACCAATTTACACCAGGTAAGGATAGGGCCCAGGGCTTTTTATTTGAATTATTTTCACCTCAAGTGATCTCTGCACCTTCTATGTGGTCTTCGAGTTAGCCCTTCTTTCTGAGCAATAGTCATTCCAGAATCTTTCTCCCATAACACTCAGGGCAGTCAACCAGAACTATCTGTCCATAGGTTGCAATATACTAGTACAAACAAAAGAAGGGAATGCTTTCAAGGCCTCCTAGATAGCTCCCTTCATGTCTGCTGACATACTACTTCACAGTTGCTCTTCCTTTGTTTTACAACAAAGAAGGTGGTATCAAACACTGAAAAACAATCTGTAAAATAATTTACATTTGACTGATTACTCAAGGGTGTTTTACATCCCTTTATCTATATCTCAGCCGCATTTGATCTCTAGGTAGCTGACCTTCCAAGTAGTTACAGACCTAATGAAAAATTGGAACTGGCCTTTGACACATAACAGTAATTCTCAGTTTCTTAGGTGCTGTACGAAATCTAGATGACACAAGACAGAATACATGGTTGTATTTATTATTAGAGTAACTGCTTTTAAATTTGAAGTGCTAGCAGAAGTAGTTAAATTTTGTTTACAAATCCACAATTTGGGGTGGGGGGGGAGTGAGATACTGACTTATAAGGAAAATGGATAGTATTAGAACTGCTTAGAAGCCTTCCCTACTTTAGCAGCACCACCACAACCACCAGCGGCATCAGGAGGTTTACTCCAGGGATTTCCATTTAGACTGGGGAAGTGGGAGAAGAATTAAATATGTTTGTTTATTTTATTTTCTGAAATTAGGGGTGTGGCTAGGGCGGGAGAGGAAAGAGGTTCAAATTTGGTGAATTTACGGGTGTTTATGGGAGTTAGGTGTCTAGGCACTTTTGAAAATCCCACTAGGCACCTGCATCTTCAGGCAGCACTTAAATACTTGAAAAAATCTGGCCCTTGAAGTTTGGCCAGTATTATAGACTAACTCATAACTCCTATGTTTTTGAGATAGTGCCCCTCCTATCATGTTGGGGACTAGGAACCAGTTTTGGTGGTCTGTCCTTAAAGATTAATGGAGCTGAAGCCTTTCCAGTAGACCCTCAAGGCAATAATTGTTCCTTAAGCAGCCCATTTTGAAAAGAGTCCAGAATACCCTTAATTCACTGACCTTCTGGGCACGCTGCAAGATTATCTATTTACCTAGGCTTTTGGGGAAGAAGGAGCGCAATTTGTGGTAATGGGCGTATAATATGGATGTTGAGTTCAACCCTGATTAATTATTTTCTGCAGTAAGAACCAGATGCTAGTTCAGAATTTTTTGTGATTGGATTTTTAACGTATCGCAAAAGTATTGAGAGGCCTAGAATAGGTGCTTCATATATATCTAAATCAGTAAATAGTTCAGACATTACACTTTTTAACAAAGCCTTAAAAATCAGTAATTAAAATTTATAAGCTCATCTAATAAGAGCTGAATGTAAAATTCAAAGCATAATTAGAGCGTATGTATGTATACACAGAGGCAGCTAAATACTAAAATCTGTGTATTGTTAAGCAATGTGAGAATCAAAATTCCTAACAAGATATGTGTACTAACATTTAGTAAAATTATGACCCAAGCTTGAACATATTTAAACAGCTGACATCAGGAGAGAACACAGTTTTAATTGTAATCTGAAACCTTTGTATACTACTATAAAATACTTCCATGTGTCATAGTTGGGGTTTTGGAAAAACTTGATGTAATGCATCATACACATTACTTTCAAGGGATGAGACTAATCTATGTTTAACCTAGTGTCTTAGTAGTAAGGCTGCAGTGTATTTGTAGAACAACTTACCTGGACTACAAACCACTCTCCGCTGGCGAGAGAGAGAGAGAGAGATTTTGGTTTTCTGACAGTTCCAATATATCAGAAATTAATCTCACATTGAACAAAACTTTTTGGGTATTTTTAACTTGTTCTAAAAGATAAAGAAAATGAAGGGCTACGTTTGGAAAACAGGAGGAGGTGATTTATAACCATTAGTCCAGTGGCAGTGGTTCTTAACCTTTACTGCAGCCTGCACCCCTTTGGTTCTCAAAATATGTTCTTGCACCCCTTATCAAAAATGGTGCCTGTGCTTAATTTGTGTTTTTGATGATTTACGTTCTAAAATTTTTTGGCATGTCTCGCACCCCCAGGGAGTGTGTGCACCCCAGGTTAAGAACCACTGGGTTAGAGCAATCACTTGGAATGTGGACAGCCTAGGTCTGGAGCAGAGTGCCTAAACCACCAGGCTATTGGCTGCCTATTCTAGTGTGGGGCTCTCTCAATCTCTCCTTTTGAAGCTGTTCCATTTTGTATAAATAAATATTCATTGAAGCAGGAATTGGAATGTAGGTGTTCTCCCTCCCAGGTGAGTGTCCTGAGTACAAGGCTATAGATAGTCATTCATTTTCACTCTTCCCCCCTCAATGACTGTTCAAGTATTTTATAAAAAGTGGAACAGCTTCAATGGGACAGAGTAAGAGAGCCCCCCTTTTAGAATGCCTAATAGCCTGGTTGTTATGATACTTACCTAGAAGGAGTGGAGACCTGGGTTCAAGTCCCTGCTCTGGAGTGGAGATTTGAACCTGGGTCTCCCACTTCCCAAATGAGTACCCTAACCATTGCACTAAAGGTTATAAGGAGGGTGACAGTGCCCCCCCCCCTTTTTTTGGTGAATAATGCCTAGATCCCTGTGTGAAATCTTTCCTGTACAAGATTTCATTTTGTTAATGTTGACATGATTCATTTTGACTTTTTGGGAATTTTTTTTTTTTGACTGAAACAATTTGCTGGAATCTACATGAATTTGCAAAATGTTTCAGTCAACCTAAATCTGCTTTCTGACTGAAAAAGTTTCATCTGAACAATTTTGCCCAGCTGTAATGTATATATATGTTAATAAAAAAAAAGAAAAGAAAGAAAACTCTAATTTTTCAAGCTTGACAAATGAAGGCTCATTAGAGTTGATATGACATGACACTTTTTTTTGTCTCTAGGTTTGATTTCCTACACAGAATATCTGTTTCTCCTTTGTATCTTAACAAGTAAGTATTCTGAAAAAAACTCACTGCAATTTTGTAAGTGGAGGAGGTTTTGGAATTAATTGATAAATTTAACAGTAACAAGTCACTGGGACCAGATGGCATTCACCCAAGAGTTCTGAAAGAACTCAAATGTGAAATTGTGGAACTATTAACTATGGTTTGTAATCTGTCCTTTAAATCAGCTTCTGTACTCAATGACTGGAAGATAGCTAATGTAACGCCAATATTTACAAAGGGCTCTAGAGGTGATCCCGGCAATTACAGACCGGTAAGTCTAAAGTCAGTACCGGGCAAATTAGTTGAAACAATAGTAAAGAATAAAATTGTCAGACACATAGAAGGACATAAATTGTTGAGCAAAAGTCAACATGTTTTCTGTAAAGGGAAATCATGTCTTACTAATCTATTAGAGTTCTCTGACGGGGTCAACAAACATGTGGATAACGGGGATCCATGGACATAGTGTATTTAGATTTCCAGAAAGCCTTTGACAAGGTCCTTCACCAAAAGCTCTTACGTAAATTAAGTTGTCATGGGTTAAGAGGGAAGATCCTTTCATGGATTGAGAACTGGTTAAAAGACAGGGAACAAAGTGTAGGAATAAATGGTAAATTTTCAGAATGGAGATCGGTAACTAGTGGTCTTCCCCAAGGGTCAGTCCTAGGACCAATCCTATTCAACTTATTCATAAATGATCTGGAGAAAGGGGTAAACAGTGAGGTGGCAAAGATTGCAGATGATACTAAACTGCTCAAGATAGTTAAGACCAAAGCAGACTATGAAGAACTTCAAAAAGATCTCACAAAACTAAGTGATTGGGCAACAAAATGGCAAATGAAATTTAATGTGGATAAATGTAAAGTAATGCACATTGGAAAAAATAACCCCAACTATACATATAATACGATGGGGGCTAATTTAGCTACAACTAATCAGGAAAGAGATCTTGGCGTCACCGTGGATAGTTCTCTGAAGACGTCCACGCAGTGTGCAGAGGCAGTCAAAAAAGCAAACAGGATGTTAGGAATCATTCAAAAAGGGATAGAGAATAAGATGGAGAATATCTTATTGCCCTTATATAAATCTATGGTACGCCCACATCTTGAATACTGCGTACAGATGTGGTCTCCTCATCTCAAAAAAGATATACTGGCATTAGAAAAGGTTCAGAGAAGGGCGACTAAAATGATTAGGGGTTTGGAACGGGTCCCATATAAGGAGAGATTAAAGAGGCTAGGACTTTTCAGCTCGGAAAAGAGGAGACTAAGGGGGCATATGATACAGGTATATAAAATCATGAGTGGTGTGGAGAAAGTGAATAAGGAAAAGTTATTTACTTGTTCCCATAATATAAGAACTAGGGGCCACCAAATGAAATTAATGGGCAGCAGGTTTAAAACAAATAAAAGGAGTTCTTCTTCACACAGCGCACAGTCAACCTGTGGAAATCCTTGCCTGAGGAGGTTGTGAAGGTTAGGACTATAACAGGGTTTAAAATAAATTCATGGAGGTTAAGTCCATTAATGGCTATTAGCCAGGATGGCTAAGGAATGGTGTCCCTAGCCTCTTTGTCAGAGGGTGGAGATGAATGGCAGGAGAGAGATCACTTGATCATTACCTGTTAGGTTCACTCCCTCTGAGGCACCTGGCATTGGCCACTGTCGGTAGACAGGATACTGGGCTGGATGGACCTTTGGTCTGACTCAATATGGCCATTCTTATGTTCTTATATGTTCTTATGTAAGATTCTGAATTTATTCCAAAAATTATATAAATTATATGGGGAAAAAATCACATGCATCTTTTCCATATAACTTGGCCACTGTATTGTCCCAGTGTAATCTCGTAACTTTTCAATTGAAGTGTTGTATTACATAAAGCACCCTTTACTGAAAATGAGAGATTAGGGATTATCAGGTGAATTGAACATCAGTTTGTAGTGTATAATCTCAGTCCTCTGAAATTGCTGCATAATTGTTAGATAAATTTATTAAAGTTTATAAAGGACTTTTGAAGATGGAGAGAGATACATAAATTGTAAATATTATTTTTCAATCTATATATGATATCCGCTTACATAGTTTTAAAAAATCTGTTGAAACTGAGCCAAACATTTATTTGTAAACAACAAACACCAACAAAATTAAATATTTGTTTTGTCTTCCACCTGGGAAAACAATATAGAAGAATGTAGAAGGTGTAATTGTTTGATTGTACTAGAGTCAATTATGTATAGTATAGATTTTCCATAACTAACACATTTGTTTGAGATTTTAGATTTGTAAATTAAAAATTTACAAACTAGTTTTAGAAGTTTTGTTAACTTTAAATAGGAGGCTTTTAAAACTGTCATCTTTTGGAATTTAAAAATCAAACACAAAAACCACAACAGTGCTTCATTTATTTGGGCATTTCATGCAAGAATTATCAACTGTAAGCATGGAATCATGTACACAGGGTTGTATGTGTCAGAACCCAGTTCTTTTTAATCCAGACTTTTCAAAGAGGTTTATATGAGAAACTAATACCTCAGATGTAGAGCTAGGGGCTCTTATTACATAAGAAGTTAAGGGAGAAGAAAACCCCATATTCTACATAAGCTGAAAGCTCTTCTCCAGAGGGAAAGTGTATTCATCATTGAGAAAGAGGCCGCGGCAGTAAGTGGGCTATGGACTGCCTAAGATACTATTTGCTGAGGAACCCTTTTTCTCTGATCACAGACCTCCCTAAATGGAGCCCTGGCAGGCACCTGGTGCTGACAGCAGGAGCCCAACAGGCACCTGGCACTGACTCGTAATTTGGGGGGGCACTGAAGATCTGAACCCTAGTGTGCCCGGCAGGGACTGAAGCCCCAGTACTTCCCAGCAGGGGCTGAAGCTCCGAGCTACAGTGCACCTGGGGGGGCTTCATTTGGGGGGGTCGGGGGGGCCCCCCCCCCCCCCCCCCCCCAGTTACGAGTCAGCCCCGGGCGCCAGCTCCTCCGAACCCACCAGCACACAGCCAGTCACTCCTCTACCTGCACTAGACCCCCCACACACACTAACTGCTCACGGCACCCCAGAGCTTTGTGGTCTGGTCAAAAGCATCTAGCAATCTGGATTTTTCCCACAGTCCCCCTATTGACTACCCCTGCTCTAGAATATTTTGGTTGAGGAGCTTCCCTGAATTTGTTTTCCATTACAGATAATATCCATAAAATGGACTAGTGTCTGACCAAAAATGAGATTCTTTATCATAGGTAAGAAGTGAAATGGGAGGTGCCTTATCCATTTTTTGACTGAAGAATAAAATAGTTCAAATGTCTGAATGGTAGAAGTTAAACTGGAATTTTCAAAATCCAAACAGCTGAGGTTATGAGCTGATGCCATTTTTAGGTAACTATGGCAGAATTAGAAGAGGGCTTTAGTCCATCATTGCACAGGGCCACATGTAAAGGCAAGAAATTATTACTAAACTGAATAATGTAATAAACTTTGGAGTTTAGGCTAATATGACTGGGTTTTCAATTCTTCCTTCCAAGTACTAGAGAGACCTACTAGAACAATGGTGTACATGTGGAGTAAATGCAATCATTGCATACCTTTTATAGAGATGGAATATATGGCCATAGGCCTGGGCTTTAAATTGGCTTGTCAGCTGTTCCTCTTGCCAATATCAGGGAACATGAGTATGGATTGTTTTAGTTGGTAGCTTTAAGTCCTGACCAAGGGCACATAGCAGCATCTCTTTAGTCAATGGGAGATCTATTTTTTTCCAACCAAACTTTTGGCCAGTCAGTTTAATAAAAATGTCATTTGATATTTTAAAAGGAAAATCGTATTGGAAGATTCTCTGAAGGATTCATTTAACATCTTAGTCTCCATTTTTTTTCTAGTTCTGCCTTGGCATTTAGAAGTTGAAAGGAAATGGTATTCGTAATTCTCTGAACCTCTCTGGTTAATAAATTACTGGTACTTTGGTATACCAAAATGTTCTATTAGCCTCTTATTATTATTTCCAAGTCATTTGATACTTTCTGTCCTCAGGTGAGACATTAATTCTTATAAAAGTCAATGGAGTTACACATAGGGTGAATCTGTCCCCTTATATTTAACTGCTAGGCTTTTGAAATATAATAGAGCTCAGTGGGATGGGGGAGAGTGTATGTGTATCACCTTTTATTTGCCTAACATAAGTAATACAGCGCTAAACAGAAGAAGGCTTTACAGCTCTTGGTTATTCCTGGTCTTGAGATTCTGTTACTTGCCTTGTCCCTATTTCCCTTTTCCTTGTGTCCTCTAAATATATTTCCTTGTTAAATCTGTTCTGCGAGTGATATCTTAAATTTCATTTGTTGCCCAGTTTGTTTTTTTGCCATAATTCACAAGATACTAAATTGTTTGCTTACTTTGATATTGCTAGATTTTTAAAAGGTTTATTACATAGGCTTCTAATATAGCCTGGCTTTTGAATTCTCTTGTTTAGTCTTTACTAGTCTTTATCTGTATTCTCTTAAGATGTCATTTCTTCTGGCTGTTTCCAAAGCTTTTAAAGACAGCAATGAGTGATTTGTAGGGTATTTTAAAAGAGAGCCTGTTTACTCTCTTCCACTAAGATAAGGTTGTCTTTAAGACTGTCACTTCTCACCTAATGCTGTTCAGGATTTCACCTTGGTCAGTCTGTTGTTTCTCTTATTGTCCTTAGCAAGTTCTTGTTCCTGGATAGTAGAAGCCAGTTTTTATAAAATTGAAGCTAACAAGATTGTAAGTTAAAATTTGGATGATATTTCATCATTGCAAAAACCTTATAAGTTTGGGGGGGCTTATTAACTAATTTTGATGGCTCATGCCTTTCCAATCAAAAGTTGTACAAATGGATTGGCTGTGTGTGTTTTTGCTGAGTAAAGCTGGCTCTGAATTAAGGTGCATTGTGCCAGCAACATGGTAGTCTCTATTTATCTGACATTCCAATCAACATAATTTTCAGATCAGAAATGTGGAATCAGATATATATCTTTTCAGAATCACTATTTGGACTTCAGTGCCACAGCTGATCCTCACTTCAATTAAGCAGTATTGTAAAAATATATATATTTTTAAATCTCCTAATACTGTAAGCACATAACCTCCCCTCCCCCCCCCACACACACACAATGGGTTTTTCCTCAATTTCCACAGTGACTCTGGGAGGAACATTGGCCCTACCCCCAGGAGGTGACAACAGGGAATAGCCATGCGTGATTGCTTCTCCCTCCTCCATACCCACCCGCCCACGGCGCCAAGATGTTTTCCCCCCCCCTTTTTTTTTTTTCAATCTATGAACTTCGAGGTACGCATTCAGTTTCTGAAATGTTGAAAGTGAAACAAATGTATAAGGTGAGATCTCTAGCTGCTGTAAGTCAGTTATACACTGTTTATATGCACAACTATACTGATTTACACTAGTGGAGGATCTGGTCTAAAATATTCAGTTTATATTCATAAAGGTTAAACTTTTATCATCACTTTTTTTTTTTTTTTTACAGTCATATTCTTTTTCTGGCAGAGCCTCATGCAGGTTTTAAAATAGCTTTCAACATGTTTGATACTGATGGCAATGAGATGGTCGACAAAAAGGAGTTCTTAGTGGTATGTATATTAGATATTGCCCTTTGATCAGTTTCTGAGTATTTTGACATAATCTTGCTATCATTCTATTTTTATGTTTAAATTCTTTATGACAATGAGAGATTGCATAAAATGGTAAGTAACTGTAAATGTCAACTATTTATAATGGCGCATAGATGTACTGCATGCTGTGCTTTGAAGTTGAATTGCCATTTCCCTTCTACTCCTTTTGTTGTTGTTAATAAATTTATCAAATAAAATTCCTTTTGGGCTAATATTGCCACAGCTGTGATCAGCAGTTACTTGAGCTAGACACACTTTGGTATAACAATGAGGGAGTTTGTGGCAGGATGTTCTCCAGGTGGCCCCTTGACTTTGTCGTTTATTTCCCCACTTGATCCAAAATAACCTGAATCTGTTGACTTTCATGACAAGCTGCAAGGCCAATCTATTTTGGGGACCATTTGGAGAGGCTCTGAGGTGGAATTGAGATATTGCTGTGCTGCTTAGCCCCACCGTATCATTAAGGTCCGATTTCATCAAAAAGCATATTGATTTCAGGTGAAGACTTACAGTGAAGCACATGCTGAAGTGATTTGCTGAATTGGGCCCTTAGTGATTTTATTACACCTGGATGATGTTGGTGGCAAGGCTGACTGGGGTCTGAATAATTTGTATTTTTAAATAATGGCAGGGCACCTAGAGCTTTTGGATTAGGTGTTGTGACAGATATGACAATTTCCTGCAATATCATTGGGGCCGGGGATGAGGGGTTCCTGGTGCAGGAGGGGGCTCAGGGCTGGGGCAGATGGTTGGGGTGCAAGGGGTGAGGGCTCTGGTTGGGGGTGCGGGCTCTGGGGTGGGGTGGGGCCGGGGATGAGTTTGGGGTGCAGGCAGGCTGCCCCCGGCTGAGGCCAGAGAGGAGCATTCCCCCCAGCCCTCTCCCCACCGGCAGCAGCGAGCTCCGGGGCAGGAGCCCCCTCTCCACTCCCGGCAGCACACTCACCTCACACCACTAACACTGCACGTGCTCTTAGGGCCCCTCTCAGATCCAGGAATCCCCCTCGCCTCCCCTGTGGTGGGTGCAGGGGAGGGGCTGCCATCACGTGTGCGCCTCCTCCCCTGCTGCTGCCCCTCACTGTAGCCTCACTGGGGGGGGGGGATGGGGCTGCCCCTTGCCCAGCGTGGGGCAGGAGCGGTGACTGCGGGCAGGGGGGCCCCCTGTGCTGGTGGACAGTCCCGCTGGAAAAGCGAAAGGTCTGTCCGTCTGAGGCGTAAGGGCAGGGTCAGCCTGGGTCAGACAGGCCCTGGCACTAGTGGCTGTGGGTCACTGGGACCCTGCGGCAGCAGTTGATGCCAGGAGCTGGCATTGCGGAGTGCAGCGCAGAGCTGCAGGGGGCAGCCACCTGCTTGAGGCAGGGATGCTATGGGACCTGGGGGAGACGCGTGGGGGCAGCACGCGGGGGCCGGGATACCCTCGGGGGAGGCGGCAGGTGGGGCCTGAGGAGAGACCCGGTCCCATACATTGGTGGAGCCGGGGCCCCGGGCCCTGAATTTGCTGGAGCGTGGGCACCACAGGCCCATATAACTCGCCATCCCTGCTAGTTCCACTGGATTCTCCAGAAGCCAAAGACAAAGGAAGGACTTTAGGTAATTAACCTGAGTTTAAGCTGACTCAGGGGCTTCATTATGTTCCGGAAAACAGACAGGCCTTCTGTCCAAGAGAAGGGCCCCAATCCTTGGGGAAGGGTTGGAAGGACTGATGCCAACCAAGGGTGATCACTGTTAAGCTTAATAGCATGCACGTGGGTTTTTTTTTTATTGTTTTAATATGTTTTCTCTGAAATGCTTTTTTACTTTACGACTAAATGGCTGACATGAGATGACTAGGCTTAGTCCCTGATTCTACCCTGGGTTTATCACTGTTCCCATGTGGAGTGCCTGTGCAAAGTGTATTACAGGATGAGGGCCTTCTTTGGCTCCGTATAATTTCTAGCAGGCAAAACCTCCACCATAATAACTGGCATAATTTGTGCTAGTCTCTGCTAAGCCAAAGTGTGAATGGATATATATGGGCTGAAACAGTCTGTCATCTGTGAAGCACATTGGCAGGGATATGTAAAATATTGATTTTTGTTGCGCCCTCACTGTTATACTACAATAGAGCCTCAGAGTTACGGACACCTCGGGAATGGAGGTTGTCCGTAACTGAAGTGTTTGTAACTCTGAACAAAGCGCAGCTTGGGCTGCAGATCCAGCGGCTGACTCTCCAGCCCAGGCTTCAGCAGCAGCTGAGCTCCTTACTCAGCGCAGGCATGACTTTGCAAGCTTGTCCTTCTCCTGTGTGCGTGTGTGTGTGTGTGTGTGTGCGCGAGAGAGAGAGAGAGAGAGAGAGAGAAAAGAGTGTCCCCCTCTCGGTAGAGGGGGGAGTAAAAACAGCCCGTTCCCCTTCCAGCTGGGGGAGGGTGGGTAAAAACAGCACATCTCTCTCCTGGAGGGGCAGGGGTGAAAGCAGCGCAGACCCCAGCCCTGCTCCTGCTCTGCTGGATCCAGCTGCCGTGGGCTGGCAGCCCCAGCATCTTGCTGTAAATGGCTGTCCTGCACATGGGGGTGGGGACAGGCAGCCCAGATGTTCCTACGTTTAAGATGCAATACAGGCACAGTACAGTATTTGCTTTTTTTTTTTTTTGTCTCTACTTCTGACTGATTTGTTACTTCTGGTTTCACATGGTGTCCAGTTGACCGGTCAGTCTATAACTATGGTGTCCGTATCTTCGAGATACTACTGTAAATAAAGGAATTAAGTTGCTGTTGTCTCTTGCAAACAGAGAGTTCCCCTGCTGAAGAATCATTTTCCAAGACTCAAAAGTGCTGTTTATTCTAGCAAGAGTTTGGAATAAATTGTATTTAATAAATTGACTTCTGATATGTCTTCTTTGAACAGTAGAATGCTAACACATTGTGTAATTTGCTGAGTTCTCCCACTTTTGGCCTTTGTCTCGGTTTCCTTCTTATGGGACTTTATGGGCTAGATTCTTCTCAATGCCAAGATCTGCACCTCCCCTCCTGTGACAAGCAGGCCATCAGGGAGTCAGTTTTAACTCTCTGATTCTCAAGCCATAGTGGCTCCAGCCCCAGCTCTGGTGTAAGCTTTAGGCCTTAACTGATGTAAACTGGCTATGAACCTTATGCACGCATAGCCCTGCTGAGATTTGGCAAAGTGTAGCAATGTTCTGACATAGTCCCTGTGTAGAAGTTGATGATGGGGAGAAGTTAGAGTTCAATAGTCAGTCCATCAGTATTGTACCGGGTGAGACCTCTGTCTTTCCCTCCCATGGAGGAATTCTCAATTAGCCACTTGCAGTCAGGATGTGGCTCTTTTCTGTTACTCAAGCAATGAGTAGAATCTGGACTGCATATACAAATCTGGCTCTGGTGTTTTCCTTGATCTGAAAAAATAAATTATCTAGATTTAGAATGTGTATTGTGTTTTGTGTACGGGGGAAACATAACAGCCGACATATCAACAGCACCTATAGGGCATAAAATATTACAAACTTTTGAGAGACGCAATGCAAATCTTGGGCATAATTGGGCCCTGTATATGATACACTGTAAACTGTTTAAAAAGTGCTGAAAACCATGATATCACACTAATAGTAAGGTTTATTACACTTTATACAAGTCAGTTTAACTGTATAATTACTTTAGTTATGCAGTGTATAGTATATGAGTGCCAACTATGTGATATTTCAACCATCATATAACCAAATGAGTTACTTGTTACATTGTGTTATAATAAAGACAGGTTATCAGTTTGCTAAAACTGAAATTTTGACTTTTCATCTGAATTTGGAATAAGAAAATGTTTTGAAATCTCAAATTCTCCTGGGACGGGAAAATTATTTCCCATGTAGGTTTAGTATAAATAAATTAAGGTTTTCACAGCAACATCAATTTGTCTAAATTGTACATATAGTTTTGTGTAAATGACGGTATATATTTCATCAGTGTAAATAGTAAACCAAAATACTACATATCTTAAATGTGCAACATGGACTAGTTAACATTGCTATAGGAACACTTTTGCATTTCTTGGCTGTTTAGCCTATAAGTTCTGAAACGTAATACTGCATTAATCTATGTTTTGCAGTTGACAATATCTAATGTATGATTGACATAATATATAAATGGACTTTATAAAGATTTAGATAACCGTGCATGGGTATTATGCTAATCCTTTTTAAGAGGTTTGATAATAAACATATTTGATTCTTCTTTTACTATGATTTTTGGCTCTATATTGTGATGGAAGTTGGAAGGTAATACAGATTTAAATGGAAAATTCATACTATTTCACTCTTCTGGAACTATCACTGCTAAGTAGTTAATGATAAGTGATCTATTTTCTTGATTTACACATTCAGGTGATGAAAGTAATGTAATTAATTTGTTGTACCCTGTGACCATAGAAACATTGTCCTTAAGATTAATTGTGCTATTACACAAGGGATCCAGATCTGATTTTTGATCTCAGATGCTTGTTTTGCAGGCTGTCAAAACAGAGAATAGTATAGAGGTGATTCTTTTTCTGTTGTTCGAAAGATTAAGGGATTTGTGCTGCTACTTTGGCCACTGCTGGTTGAGATTGAGAGCTTCACTCCTGCTCCTTAGTCTTGGGGCACAGTAGCATTGCAACACTGATAGCTTGTCAATAGAATAGACCCAATAGAATGACCAGATAACTCCTGGTCATGAGCCAGGAGTTATGCTCTGTTTACCAGAAGTAATTATTTCATGGGTAGGAGTAAGAGACACAGATGTGACTTTTCATAGAATTATAGAAATTGTAGATAGGAAAAAAGCCATTAGGTCATCTGGTCCATCACTTTGGGTTTGTAGCATTATTCCCAACAGTGTATTCTCCAGAATTTGTCTCGTCCAGTTTCAAATACTAAAACAATGAGAATGATGTAAAACTGTGAGGACCCTGAGGCCCTTGCTCTAAAATATGTGTTCCCTAAGGGTGCTGTTTACTTTGTATTTTATTTAAAAACAAACAATTATTTTTGCCTTTTCATATGGAGGAGAAGGGGGTCAGGAGAGCTGGAGATTAGAAGGTGAGAGTCTGAGTATAAGGTAGTACAGTTTTGGAACATTTATCTATCCCTGGTCATATAAAATGATAATTCTGTTAAAACTATATTTAATAGCTAAACTTTTTACAGCATGTGTATGTATGTATACAGCTCTGTGTATGTAGACATATTGACACACAGGGGCAATTCTGCACTGTTTGTTACGTGCATAGTAGCTCTGTTTCTGAATCAGAAGATAAAATTGGCTTGTTTTGCAGCTTCAAGAGATATTTAGAAAGAAAAATGAGAAAAGAGAAAGAAAAGGAGATGAAGAGAAACGTATAATGTTGGTAAGTAAAATTAGAATAATTGTAGGTTTGTGGTTCTTGAATTTTTTTATGTAGCTCAAAAGTGTGGTTATATTTATTAATTAAGAAGAATATTTATTTAATATTACTAATCACTTTTGAGATTTCTGAGCAACTCCAGGTACCATATCGAATCACATAACTCCTTACAATATAAAGGGTCAATTTGATTCTAAGCCTGTTTATTGAGAGGAGAATAATAAGTACTCCTGGGGGAATTCTACACCAAAAATTAAAACAATCTATGCACAATATTTTAAAATTCTGCAAAATTCTGCATATTTTATTTGTCAAAATAACACAATATAATCACACCAGTTTCAATTAGTTTAGTAATTTATTTCAAAATACATGTGGGCAGGTATGTCTGTAACAATATGGAAAAAAAAGATTCAGGAAATGTTTTTTGACAAATAGAATCCTTAGTAGGCATATTAATTGCTGGGAAAGAGCCCGGCTGTGGGTGAGAGAAATATATTTGGGGTTTTTGGGGGAGGGGAATTGTCATTGAGCCTCCCCCATGCAGACCCTGGTTGACCCCTAGCCTCTATCATTCAGTCAGGCACATCTGCCTCTGTCCCCATGTGTGCCTCCACCCCCACTCAGCCATCCCATCTCCCCCCCTTGTCCCCATGTGTCCCTGCACCCTCACTCCCATTCAGCTCCCACCCCAGTATGCTCCCCACTAGTCCTTCTGAATCCCACACACACACACCCCAGCAGCTCGATGTTACCTACACTGCCTGTCCCCCGCCCATATCCCTGACCTCCTGACCCAGCCTCACAGGCAGGGTGCTGTGAGGAACACAGCCTCGTCTCTTCCCTATCCACAGCTGGGGCTGTTCCTACCCAGAAGTGGCTGCTCTCCGTTTTGGTGCCACAGCAGCCCCTGTTGGGTGAAAGGCGTAACTGCAGCACCTCTCCAGCAGAATATATTTTCTGAAGCGAAAAAAAAGTTCTGCGTGGGAATGAATTCTGCACATGTGCAGTGGCGCAGAATTCCCCCAGGAATAAATAGGATCATTTTGGACCTAAAAGCGAACTACAAAGTTCCTGAAAAAATAAATGTTGTAAGATCCCCAAAGAGGAAAAATATACATAGCTGTTATTTTAAAATACAATTACAGTAGCATTTTATTTTATGTTTTAAATCAATAATTTACTCTGAATCTAAGAAGTCTAGTAGACTTTCTAATGTAGTCTTCTACCATAATGAGAGTGAATTACCTCACTACCATCTTAAATGTAAGTTGAAAGACTCCCTTCATGCTGATCTTCCTTTCTCTCTCCCTCATAATTTTCTCAGAAATGTTCATATGGACTTACTATTTTCATACTTAATTTCAGCCCAAATCCTTTGACACCTTTGAAGAAATGTGCTTCATAAATTAAAAGATAAGCAAACTAAGATTTTGTACTCAGACTGAAATCTTTGTATTGAAGCACCTTATTTTCATTGTTCTTGTGAACAAGGTTTATTGAAAGATCACTGAATATGGTTCACCAGAGAGATCACCAGTTAAACATGTATACGTATGTCTGAAAATCTTCCCTCTGTGTGAGTTAAAAATGCCACAAAAATTAAGTACTGTGCATGACCACTACATTTTTTCAATTGATGATAACTATTTGTGAAACATATGTCTTCATTTCAAATGAACTTGTTCTTACTGAAGACTACAGGTCAAATCTTGAGATTTACTTTTATGTATGTGAAAGGCCAAGGAGTAGTGTAAAAGTTGTGGTTTGGCTGCATTAGGTGAGGCAGCAGCAGGGGCTTATGTCCCTGTAATCTCAGTGGTAGGTCTCTACCAATCCTGCTTCGGAAAATGGGTGGATTCATGCACTGTGCAAATCGATTGGGCCAAAACCCCACATTGTAGGTACCACTTGGATATATCTGCTTCTTATCCCTATGGCTACCATTATGGGTACCTGGCCACTAGGGGATATAGATTCTAGCCCTCAGCTCAACAACTGTTTTGTGTACAGCAAAATCCTTTTATTTATTTATTTATTTATTTGAATTTTAAAAGCATAACATAAAAGTATATTTATCTGGGGCTGTCTGTGTGCTCTCTTCCCAGAGGCTGGCCCCCAAACCACAAGAAACTTGAACATTAGGAGCCACCACATTTTTGAATAACCCAAGCACAGAAAAGAATATTTGTTCACCCTACGGGACACAACTTTTTTCACATTGGCAAACATTTTTAATTGCTCAGTTAATTTTATTGACATGTTTAGGCCAAGTCTAAGCAAAAGAAACTTCATCCTAGAAGGAAAACTTTTGAGAATATTACAGAGACAAAATAGGGGGGTAGAATAGCATATTTCTTGTAACTTAAATTTATCATGGTTGCAATGTACTCAGCTCTATACTTTTTTCTGTTTTAAGAGTCTTAAAACCAAGATGTAAAAAAAGAAAACCATTTGCTTTCCGTCATTTAAAAAAAATACCAACATTTCTAGTAACATGTAAGATAAAGACTTGCCTGTCCTAACCTATTGTGTTGTCTTCTTTCTCTTTCTTTTTGGTTTCATTCTGAAATGTGGTACTTCACTTCACCATTTTTGCTGTATGTCAGCGCCTTCAACTCTATGGATATCATACTTCTACTAACAGTGTATGTACTCTAAATATTTTCTGTGTATATAGTTTTCACCAGTGAGATGGAATCATTTCTTATAACAATTGGCTCTTTATCAAGTAAATGAATTTTACTAGTATAGAGTCTTATTCAGTCAAAAGTATACTCTGTCTTCAGGGCCATAGAAGGCTGCAGATACTTGCTACAGGCATAGAGTAACAGGCTGGCCCATCCAGAGGAGAAATGGATGCCTCTGGATAGGTAAAAAGGAGAAAAAGAGCTGGTCTGTATTAAGGAGTTGTAGACCTACTCTGGGTGGGGTGGTGAACCCATTTAAATAAAGTCCCCCAACAACAATTAGTAATAAAAATTCTGTCCCCTTTCATGGGACATAACAGTAGAGCCTTCAGTAATAACCATGTTCCTAGGGTTCGGTCAGTTTCCCAGCATCTTATCCTAACAGGGCTTAGGGGAAGAGAAGGTCTCAACCATTTTTTTCTTGCACTGTTTGTTCATAAAATAAAACAAAACTACTTCAGAGTAGGATGAGAACAGGGGCTGTTGGTAGAGAGACCAAGATGAGGACAGAGTTTATTACACTTGATTACTCTTTGGGCAGAGGGTGGAAGGAATTTTGAGATTGATGAACTCTGTCCTTTGACCTTTCAGAGTAGAGCAGATTTAGACTCCTTTAAAAGGTCCCACCTGGCTGCCTAGCATAAAAAAGCCTCAGTCTTCATGGTTATATGGGGAGGAATTCATTCTTTTGAGCCAGATTAGCATGATAATTAGGCTGGATGGAGTTTGTGACTGCATTTATAGAAAAGGGGCTAGGATTTGAAGTTTTATATACAGTTCTGTTTCCCATGACTTTTGTAGCTGTGCAGCATTAACAAGAATAAAAAATGGTAAGAACTTTTTTATCCCTGAACTGAACACATGCAGTGCCATTTTTATATAGTACTGTTTCTGATCATGCCTACATTTTAACTCTGTCACTTTGTCTTTCATACAATTGTGCCCAGGTAAGGCAGCACAGACATGTTAAATACATACCTGTTCAATAAGATGATAGTAAGGCAAAAAATATGCACTATAGTCTTGACTTGAAGTCTGTTGAAGCCTTTCTGTTGACTTTAGTGTGCTTTGGATCATGCCCTATGTCAGCGTGAAAGACTTAATGCTTCATATCTCTATATTTCCTTCCTTTTATAGTTTAACAAAACTTACCTTTAAGCATTTCTAAATTTATAATAATTTTCTGACTCTAGTAAAAAAAAAATCTATTTTTATACTCACATTTAGAAAAATAAATCAGCACAGTGGGGGGTTTAAATTGTTTTAAATAAAAGAAATGGGTGGTACTAATGGTGAATTACATCTATTAGCATGCTATTGAATGTGGACCTGGAATTGGAATAATGAACACTTTTATATTTCTGTCATTGAAAACCCAAACTCTGAGGTCCTGAGCACCCTCAGCTTCCATTGAAATCTGGGGCAATTGAGTGTACTCAGAACTTCATAGTATCAAGCTCTGAAGGCTACATCTTACATAAGATGCATCTATAAATGGGTCTGAGTAATTTGATTATTTCTGTCTTTTCATATTACACATGATATTTCTCTGGAGCTAAGCTGGTGCATGCTGTGAATGTGTATTAAGACTAGTACAGCATGAGTTGCATGTGGGTTTTGATTAGCTGAATGCAATCTTATTATTGATGGTTATTATAAAAGTAACATGTAGAAAAATAAAATGTGCATGCTTCAGAAATACTAACTTCATCAGTAATAATCAGTTTTTGTCAGATAAATAAAGTACATCACCAATAAGACAGGTAAATCAATGAATAATTATGTAATAGTATGTGTATCTAAATAAAGGATGAGGTGGTCAAAAATATATGTAACTTCTTGAGGCAGTGATTTATGTTGAACATTTTTTTTTACTTATTTGGCATATTTTGTCTATATTTTATGGTTTAAGAAGAGATATTCTTGTCTAACTTTTTAGTTAATTTTAAAAAAAATGAAGTTTCATTGACTAAAATATACATAATCAACATGATGCATCAGCAGTTGGATCAAAACCAGTTTATCTCTATTTAGATAAAGAGCTTCATAACATGATGTTAAATGTGAAATGAAAAGGTTAGGCATACTAACTGTATTCAGTTTTTATCTTTTGTTCAGACTTTTAATGAATGTTAGCTACAAAATATATTATAATGCACCTAACCTTATACTGGTCAGAATAGTATACAGTTGTTACTTGCAGCATATTAAAAATTGTAGACAATTAATTTTGGTTTGTAGAGGTCCAGTATATTGTATTTAATATTGGGTGACTCTCTTATGGATCTTTCTGGAAGCTCCCCAGAATGAGATTCCATACTTCAGATGAGAGAATTCTTCCAAAGTCGTGTGATAGACTACAGTAACTCCTCACTTAAAGTCGTCCCGGTTAACGTTGTTTTGTTGTTACGTTGCTGATCAATTAGAGAAAATGCTCATTTAAAATTGCGCAATGCTCCCTTATAACGTTGTTTGGCAGCCGCCTGCTTTGTCCACTGCTTGCAGGAAGAGCAGCTCATTGGAGCTAGCTGGTGGGGGCTTGGAACCAGGGTGGACTGGCAGCCCCCCATCAGCTCCCCTAAGTTCCAGCAGACTATCAATTTCCAGGCAGTTTAGCTCACCGGCCCCCTCACTGCCATGTGCTGCTCCTGCCCTCTGCCTTGGAGCTGCTCCCAGGAGCCTCCTGCTTGCTGTGCAGAGGGGGGAGAATGAGGGGTGCTAATGTCAGGGTGTCCCCCTCCCCTGCTCCTGTCCCCCTCAACCTTATCTCCACAGGACGGAGGGAGCTTGCTGGCAGCAGCTGCAGTCTCAACTTTCTGATCTACTTTAAAAGGCAATGTACTTAGAGTGGGGTCAGTGTCCTTAAAGGGGCAATGCGAGTCTCTCTCTCACACACACGGTGCGTGTCTCTGTCTCTCTCTGCCATGCTGTCTCCCCTCCCTCCATTTGTGCTGCCTTGTAGAGTGTGAGGCTACATTAACAACAATGTGTTAACGCTTGAGGGCTCAGCCGAGTGCTAGTTCATCATTTAGCTGTAAGGCATTCCCTGGGAAATATCCTACCCCCTTCCACCCTCTGACTTCACCACCTCAACCAAGCTTCACAATCATCACTGCTGTGTACAGTATTAAATCGTTTGTTTAAAACTTATACTGTGTATATGTGTGTGTACATATATAAAATATAGTCTCTTGTCTGGCGAAAAAAATTTCCCTGCAACCTAACCCCCCCATTTATATTAATTCTTATGGGGAAATTGGATTTGCTTAACATCATTTCACTTAAAGTAGCATTTTTCAGGAATATAACTACAAAATTAAGCGAGGAGTTACTGTATCTTCAGACCTATGGTATGTAAGACTTTGGTAATTACAGAGTTTGTATGGCGTGGGAACAGTATATTTATCTTTTTAATATATGGTCCAAATCATCCAAAGGGTTTATGTTCTATTGGCTAAAAATCTCTTGTCATACAATATAATTTTAGATGTTTGTTTTCTCATACAGTATATAAATAAATGCCAGATTTAAGTAAGCTTACTTTAAAAAGGAGTTAAAAATTATTTGACAAAATTTAAGTTTGTAATGACTTTCTGCTTTGACTTTATTAGAAAGCACAAAATGAATATCTTGTTCATTTTTGTCTTACACTCGTTTATAAAATCTTAGTAATTTTCAGAGAAATTAAACAATATACAAGGTTGGCATCTCAACTAATTTAAGTCTTTGTCCTGCATGCCACTACATGCAAAAGTAAAATACCTTATTTCTAAGCATATAATTAAAGATATTTCTCTTCAGGCAAAAATATTGTGAACTACAATAAGCAGAAATACTTCACCCAAGAGATCTCTGTGAATTTTTTTCTCTGTTCTTTTTCAGTAAGATGACACGTTAGCTTGGTGTCAAAACATTGTTATTGCTCTTTACTATTAAGAGAAAGTATATTTCAGAATACATTTCTGATTTTTGATTCATCTTCAGGCAAATAATAATTAAATGAAAGCCCCATGAGCATGGATTACACTGATAAGACATACTTAAATGATGTCTTCAGTCATGTAACCATATTTTACTACTGGCTAGATTGGGAAGGTGAGTGCCGTGGAGGCTGCATATGTTAGCTGAGGAAATATTGTGCTAACAGAGAATTGAGAATAATATTTCAAGAGAGATTTTTCCTAAAATATAAATTGTAAGGTCTCCTTTCTAAATTTTCAACTGTTGAAATTTTCTTAGTACATATGACGTTGAATGTGTGGAAAATCAAAAATAAGCCCTGCAGAATACTCCTCACAACATCTATGTGGCTTTATAGATATGCTAAAAATCCTAAAAGGAATCCCATGGGATTCTGCGAAGTGTACAATGGGGCAGAGTATTCTGTAGTTTATGAGAGTGTAAGACCTTTAATAGCAACAATTTATGCTGATTTTAAAAAACAAAAGTAAGGATATTTTTCCCACTTGTAATTGGAAGATTGAATTTAGTTCCCAGTCTTTGTCTCTTCTGCCAGACTGACAGGAGTTGGGAGCACTGAAGATAGGGAATCAGGCCTAGACTAATGGGGGAAAGGGCATGGGAGGAAGTGCAACAGAACATTCAACAGTGATAACAGTAACCAAGTTAGAAGAAGCCTTGACTGCCTCCAATATCACCTTATCTAGTTCTCCTTAGCCAGAAAGATGGAAGCTGTCATGTTGGACCTCCAAGGGTGGTTGTAAAGTGCGGAAGGGGGCAAAATGTAAGAGGTGTAAGTGTCTCAGGCCTCTAAAATAGTTGCAGAGCACCTCCATGGCAAAAAGATATGGCTTACAGTTCTTTCAAACAGAGCACATGATAAATTTGATCAATGGACACCTACAATCAGGTTTTCTTGCTGTATAGTCTGCAACTAGAACTTGGTCTCAGTGTGGACCTGATTCTTATTTTCCTTAACACTACTAGGATGGATCTTTTGTTGGAATTAAATTATTTGCAACTATTTAGATAATGCTATTGGTGCATGTCATGCTTTGATAAATCAGAAAACAAGCTCCCTATCACAAGCAGCCTAATCTATTTATAAATTAATATGTTGACAAAATGATGAAATTACTAATAATACCAGCTTGCCAATACATTTTCACTTTACATATACTCCAGAATGTTTCTGTTTATAGTAGGGCTATCAAATGATTAAAAAAAAATCGCAAATAATCGTGAGATTAAAAAAAATAGTCTCAATTAATCACAGTTTTAATTGCATTGCTAAACAATAATAGAATACCAATTTAAATTTATTATAAATATTTGTGGATATTTTTCTACATTTTCAAATATATTGATTTCAGTTACAACACAGAATACAAGGTGTACAGTGCTCACTTTATATTACTATTTTTGATTACAAATATTTGCACTGTAAACAAGATTTTTAAAAGCGCAATCTACAAGTCGAAGCGTGAAGGGGCATACAAATGTTTAGCATATCTGGCATGTAAATACCTTGCAATGCCAGCTACAACAGTGCCATGCAAATGCCTGTTCTCACTTTCAGGTGACATTGTAAATAAGAAGCTGGTAGCATTATTTCCTGTAAATGTAAACAACTTGTTTGTCTTAGTAATTGGCTGAACAAGAAATAGGACCGAGCAGACTTGTAGGCTCTAAAACTTTACAATTTTTTGTTTTTGAGTGCAGTTATGTGAAAAAAATAATTCTACAGTTGTAAATTTCACTTTCACTATAAAGAGATTGCACTACAGTGCTTGTATGAGGTGAATTGAAAAATACTTTTAAAAATCTTTTTTACTGTACAAATATTTGTATTAAAAATAATATCAAGTGAGCGTGGTACATTTGGTATTCTGTGTTGTAATTGAAATCAATATATCTGAAATGTAGAAAAACATCAAAAATATTTATAATACATTTAAATTGGTATTTTATTATTGTTTAGCAGTGCAATTAAAACTGATTAATTGTGACTATTTTTTAAATCTAGTTAATTTGTTTTGCATTAATCGCTTAAGTTTTGTAAAGCCCACATTATGACTAATAAGGAAATAGATATTGATACTATTACCCTTTTGAAAATGCCTTGGGTTTACAAGGAGTGTGATATAATACTTTTCTTTGTTCAGGAAAAAAAAACCAAAGGTAAACTCATGCAGTTTTCTTCTTTTTGAAGATTAGTTAGAAAAGATTTTAAAGTGTATAAGTTGTTGTTCTTTATGATTGTTCTGTGGTTTTCAAACAGTTGTGCTTCTTGAAACTTCTACAGGTACTTAAGACAGATGGAAAGGACCTTGTCCCCAGAAGCTATTGGGATACATTGAGACGTAGCACAAGCCAAGCTCTCTTTTCGGACCTTGCAGAGGTATAATAAAACCTCTGTCTGGTCCATGAACAAATTGCCATTTTATTTATTTCCTTTTGTATTTTAATGTTTTCCCCATTGTTGTGGATCTTATTTCCTTTCTTTTTAAAATAGTTCTTTTAAAAACAGTGTTTATGGAAAGTTGTCATATGAAATTAATGTGGCTGAATACAGTGGCATTACTTGAAGTTGTCATTTCTAGTCAGCTAGCATTCTCTTTTGCAAGATTTGGAAGATCAAGTCCTATCACTATAGCCTTGATGTTAGGATATTTATCTAATATTAATTTAAAAAAAACCTGATTTCTATATAACTGAAAAATTAGGAACCCTTTTTCAATTAGGGCTTGATCCTGTGAGGTGATGACTTTAATGAGAGTAGAGCGCACTCAGCATCTCTCATGAGGTATCCAAGACTTTGCGGGTTCAGGCCTTTAACTTGCTTTAAAACATAGGTTAGCCAAGTTTATTTTTACAGAAGGTCATGGTCAGCAATATTATGTATGCCTTTGCTAAAGATTCTTTTTAATTTATTGTATTGAAAAGAGTGATGTTTCAGGCAGTTAAAACAATTGAATACATTAATCTCAGTCTTTATCTTTAGATATTGCACGATCATTGTGAAAGACTAGCAATATCTCTATTCCATCAAAAATGAATGTATGCAGGTATCTAAATTATAATAAAAATAAAAAACTTATTTCATTATTCATTCAAAAAGTTGAATAAACAGAATGTGTATATGTCTTTGTATTGATAATTTAAAAGAGAGGCTAAAGGCCAGATCCTCCAAACTGGCATTTCTGTCCCCAGCTACAGTGTGAAGGAGGTTGCTGTACATTGGGCCAGGCTGGTCATGGCCCCAAGCATTGGCCACCTGTAGCAGCTCCCCAGTAACACTTCTATCTCAAGCCATGCAAATCACACCAGGGACAGTAATGAGGGAAGCGTAGGAGCTGCTTTACCAGTCTTATGTCACCTGAGGATTCTCCCATACTGAGGGTATCTCCAGTCAGCTGGATTAGCTTGAAGTACAGCAAAGCTGGAGACAGATTGTCTTTACATCTGTTGTACTTACGTGAGCAAAATTAACACTTAGATGTACAATATTTTAAGATTAGTATTCTTTAGAAGCCTTTTTAATGTGAACCTGTCCAGTAGGCAATTAGGCATATCATTAAAGGTGCATTACACTGACATCTGTAGACTGCAATAATTAAAACTTACCAGCATCTAGTTTTGGTAGGGTTACCATACGTCCGGTTTTTCCCGGACATGTCCGGCTTTTCGGCAATCAAACCCCCGTCCGGGGGGAATTGCCAAAAAGCCGAACATGTCCGGGAAAAATACCGGCCGGGCACTTCCTCTCCCGCGGCTGCTCTGCTCCTACCCTGACTCAGACTTCGGCTCTGTTTAAGAGCCAAGCTGCCCGAGCCAGCGCTACCGGCTT